TTGTGTTACAGGAGAGGAATGTTGATATGATGGTTGTGACGAGATCTGTGCTGTATTTGGGCTGACAACTTGGTGTCCGCTAGGTGGTCGGACAGCCGATTGCTGACTTGGCGACCCTACCGTCACCGGATGTTGCAATTGTGGTTTTTGAATAGCAGATTGCGGATGTCCAAATGTGGGTGGCCCAACTATCGAGTGAGGGGGAGCGTTGCTTTGCCCGGGTGGACGATGAAGTGCTTGTTGTACGGATGTTGCAACGGGAATTTGAGGATATCCATTTACATGGGAAGTAGGCATGTTGGCTTGTGTTTGTTGTACTGCATTATTCGTATGGTGAATGGGATTGCTTTGAGCTCCAGGCTGAGCCAGATTTGTGTGTGTGATATTGCTTGCCTGAGCGGGTGGACGACTAGGCGTAATGGCGGCAGATGTCTGTGGGAGGAAGGGGACGGATGCGTTGCCTTGAGGTTTCAATGGGCCTGGCGACATTGAGACCTTACCTGGGTTTCCAGCCTGAGATGGTAGCGACGGAGAGGGGTGCTGATTCTGGCTCGATGATCCTTGAATTGACTGGGACGGATGGTAGGCCGCTTGTGTAGTTGGCCTACCTTGTGTAGTTGCAATTCCAACATTGCTTGGAGACGTAAACATATTGGCTTGGGTCATAGGGGTCACTGTGACTGAGTTGGGTTTGGAAACGTCGGCAGCTGCAGAGGTTACCTGGCTGTGTAGCGGAGAGGCAGTACTAGATTGTTGCATAGTTATCGCTGGTGATGGCAATTGCTGATTTATCTGTTGTGGTCTTGCACCGGCAGCAGCATCTATCGGCACGCCCGCCCCTTCACTTATTGAAGTTGGGCTTGGCTTACTATTATCCCCGAGGGTGGTGTGAGTTGGATGTTGAGAAGGTTGCGAGCTTGGCGCTGAAGTCTCTTGAGGTGTAAAGCTGCTGATGGCAAAGATCACTTCAGAGATCTCGTCAGAACTAGTCAAAGGCGGCTTGCCCAAGGGGGTTTCAGGGGTAATCGACGAAACCTGTGAACTTTTTGAAGAATGTCGTTTGACAAAGTTCAACGGCGCAACTACGGAGGACTGTTCATCGACATTAATGCGCGACTCTGAGTTTATTCGGTTAGAATCGGAGGTTTGGGCTGTTATGTTCGGTTTGGGGGTATCTTGATATGCAGTGGTGCCGTGATTCAAGGGATTCGCTTCACTGGGTATCTCATGGAAAAATAAAAAGCCTGGTGAACCGTTCATTTTTGAGTTCGCGGAGGGTAGATGATCTGGCAAGGTGTTGACTCTCGTAACACTAGGTTGGTCGTTGGCGGCCGATGAGGCTTGAATTGCCTGTTCAGAAGAACGGTGAGGGAGTATACTCGCTTGAGTATGCCTGCCCTCGTTCTCCTGAAGACTGTTATTTGGCTGGTCGCCACCAGGTTTTAACACGGATGGGGTATATGATAGATTATGGTTTGCAACTGGAACCGAGATGCTATCATGCCGAGCTTGATTCCCAGGTATAATCTGCTGATTGGTAGTGCCAGGCGAGCTTGATTCCTCCGGACGATGAGCCGGCTGTAGAACTGCTGGGATAGACGAGGTTTTAAGGTCTATAACTGACGCAGTTTCGACAGGCAAGGGTTTTCTGGGTTCCAGCGGTGGTGCTAAAGTGTTGGGGATGTCTGCTAACATTGACGACTCTGTATTTTGCGAGTTCTTCCGGCCGAAACTTCCGAGTTCACTGTCCTGGTTTTGAAGAATAGACGTTTGCGGCAAGGCTTCGGAAGCCTTGTTTTGTACCTGAGATTGCTGTGCAACACCCTGCGTCGGCTTCCACGGTTGGAACTTGTTTTGTCCGACGTCGACAGGTTGTTTTCCCATCGAGTCAGCATCGGGTGAGAGACTATTGGCGGCGTTCACGTCAGATTTCAACGGCGGATAAGCAAAAGAAGCAGATGTAAGTGGATATGAATCCACTGGCTGTGTAGCAGGCTGTGTAGGTTTTAAAACAAGAGTCTTGTCCTCTACAGGAGTCCGGTGGGTGGGAAGTTCGGTCGGTTCTTGAGGTATGTTTGTCTGAATCGGCGCTGGCGTGTAAGATGTTGCGTCTAGTTCAACCGGTGCAAGTTCTTCTGCGCACTTGACCGTGTCTTGCGTAGCGAGTTCGGCGACAAATCCTACGGGTGACCACGTTTGTTGGCTACTTTCAGGGAGCTCAGCAGTGACTTGCTGGGTATTCGAGGTTGATGGACTTATTCGCCTTGCCCCATTTCCCGCGATCCCGTCATGGCCCGTCGGTGGGTTAAGATTTGGCTCGCTGTTAGAAACCGGAGGGGTTGCTTCAAGAGGACTAATGCTGTTGTAGGTGTCTGGATAATACGCAGAACTATCAAAATAGCCGGTAGCGCTCATACCATATTCCTCACCGATAGTCGCATTATTCCCCCTCTCGGTCTTGCTCCCGCTTGTTTTAGGGCCGCTTTTCGTATCATTATAGGATCCAGAAACACTTCTTCGTTTAGTCTCTTGTTCGACTGCTAAGCTATCTTCCGGGGTAAGCTTAATAGGTCCAGTTCCGACATCAAGTAGGAACTCCGCGTATTCGTCTCCCTCTTGTGGAAAATGGTATTGTACCATGCCCGTCGGCACATATTGGAAAAACCACCGCTGGCCATCGTAACCAGACACCCAATTCTCCGGAAGCTTCGCCATTTTATCTGAGAGACCCGTCAATGTGCCCCTTTCGGCGGCTGTTCGTATCGGGTAGGCGTCGGAGAGGGGTAGGTGTTAACGGAGTGGTTCGAGGTCGTCGCGATGACATACACGTAATAAGAAGTCCGTTTGGCCTAACGTGAGGCGACGGCCGATGCTATCGTAGTCCTGTCAATACATAGTATTGTCTGCTAGTAATAGTTCAAGGCCTGACACTTGACGAATGGTTCCAGTTGAAAATAGGTCTATCAGACGTTCGAGGCGCCCATGCGATTCTTCTACTTCTCTAATAGCCGTTACGAAATGAGCCTTAACAGAATATGACAATGAGAGACGTCTAAGTCATCGTAAAATAGGACTATTCGACGCTAAGGTGCACTTGTTGGGTATGTATATGTATATGTAGTGTAATTCACAGAGCCTCCTCAAGGTTTCCAGAAGACAAAGAAAGCGAGAACGGCAGACTTGGCCTAGGTCCAGGCCAGACCTCGCCTACAGTAGAGGCCATTGGAGCCCAGACTCATAATCCTCTTAGCCTTCTTCAGTCGAAGACAGGGAGAAGTCATGTCGGGCGAAGAGAGCGTCTGTCGTTAGCGCCAATCATGTTGCGCCCGATGCGCCATCGGGGCAAATGGAGGGGCTATTGGATGGCGACTGGTGTTAACGTGCAGGAGCTGAACTTTAGGAGACCCATCGCGTTCATGTGCAACAGCCGGGTTGGCCTAGCCCTGCTGTACGCGACAGAAGCATCGTCCACCATGCCGCATTCGGCCTGAATGGGTATTTATATGCAAACATATATTTGCATACCGTGACCTGGAAAGGTTGGGCTTAGGTATCGTGAGGCTAAAGCTAATCAAGCTCGTTGCTGAAGCGAATGTGGAAGACCAGATGCAGTCTGAAGTCAGCAGGCCATAATGTACAATACATGCCTATTTTGGTGCCCATGTTTTTCAGCTTGACGAGCTAACGGAGCTTGTGTGATGGTAGTGGATCAGTGCACCCAGTAAGGCTGCAACAGTCAACGCCTGTAAATTCGGCCTCTGTATACTAATTATAACGCTGTAGGTCACTCGTGAGGGGATATCCCGGCAAATATAAGCTTGTATCGTCGCCGCTATCCTCCACTGCTTCAGAGCGCGTGTGAAGACTGCCCCCCTCATGGTGAATCTCTACTGAGACACTGTTAGTCCCTTGCTTCATTACACCTACAACGTTGGCATTTTCACTACCACATGATTTTTTCCAGCATCCTCGGGGAAACGTCCAATCCATGATGAATTATTATACCTCACTAGCAAAGACATCCTAGAAAATACATCCAGCGTGCATTGGCCAAATAACCTCATTGCAGCATCGCGCGACTGCCATCTATATCTTTAGCTGCAGTCTTCGAACGCGGCTGGTCCTCGCCACCGTAGTGTGCAGCATCCCCGCCGAGGTTGTCGATAACCTGACGGCTGTTCTCCTTTGACGCATCGCTTGTGTCTTCACGATTATCCGTTAGTCTTCGTACGCTTTTCAGCTATTGGACACAAGAGATGGTGTTACTGACTTGGATTGGCGAGGTTCGCTTTATGTCCTTGCACTTTATGTGAGATTTCCTCTCGGCCCTGGGTAATTTCTTGCATGTCTCGGGAGACAGTTGACTTGGCACCCGCAGAGTCCATGGTGTACTACTTGAGATGAGATGGGTTGGTTTATCGTCTGTAAAACAAGAGTAGTAATGGCGAAATTTAGTCAATTGAAATACTTCAAAAAGGGAAAAGGCAAAACAACGGCGGCTTCTGTAAGTCCTTATTATATATCCTCGCTCCCTCCCATATGGTGACACCGCATCCGCATACAGTTTTCTAATAACCAATCATCTGCCTATGCTATGATTTTGATGTCATGCTCTACGTATGTATTAAGTTTGTTCACTACCAACAAATACACCGCCAGCGCATACGTCATAAGACCCTGAAAGACGTTTCAATGATCCGCGCAAAACCCAGGGATCACGATGCGACCGAAGAACACGCTACAACGGTGTAACTTACCTACTGAACAACTTAATCGCATATTACCGGTAAGCTTATTACTGGCCTCGACGCAAAGTTCCCACATAGTCTGGACCAAATGTTCAAGGGACAAGTGTTTGAATGCGATGTTTATCTAGATAAATGAATGAAACTCTACAATTGAAGCCATCACCTGACGCAGAATACCTTCCTAGGTACCTACCTAGGTAGGTACTTAGACATTTGGCGGGATCTTGGACAAGGGTACCAAAAAGAGGTCCATGGTTCAGCCCGGGCTCGAACCGGGGACCTTGAGTGTTCAGCATGTGAGACTCACGTGATAACCACTACACTACTGAACCTTCTGATTGGCTGGAAACCCTCATCGGGTCCCTATGATGGAATTGCCAAACCATTTCCAGCTCACTGCTGTCTTGAGAAGCCCAGAGATCAAGCTAGATCTTAGAAGTCCTAGGTAGGTACTATGAGAGAGATCCATTACGAGGTCAAAGGAGAGAGGCGATTTCGATCCTTGTTCAAGAAGAAGATCCTGTCAAGTACAAGTATTTCCGCAGGTAAACCCATTCGTGCGCACATAGGGACATAACACTAGGATTGAACTTCAAGCACGGATGTAAATGCTCCGGATTTAGAGAGCTCTGGTCTATATTTGAAGTTACTGATGTCCTTTGTTTTATGTAGCGCCGATGAAGTGACTCTGGGGGCTAACTATAATACGATTTACATACAAGACCCGGTAGTGCTAAGCAAGTCGTTACTAAAATGGAAAGCTTTGCCGGCGAAGACTCTTTATTTTGAATACGCTGTAAATTAAAGTGTAAAGCATTTCGATTTAAAAGTTAAGGTTGTTAGCGTTTTATATTTTTTTGGTTAGTTATGCTTTGTTGTTTTAATTAGTTATATAAGCATTATATTTATATTTAAATATAATAGCTATTAATAATTATATTTATTATAGTTATAGCTAGCAGCTTTTATAATAAATGGTTAGCTTATATATATAAGTATAATATATATAGCTAGGTTATAATTAATGTTATAGCTTACTTATATATATATTTATTTATAAATTACTTAAATAGCTTACTGTTAAAAATTAAAGCCTTTAAAGCTACCTTTTTTCTCTAGCTTATAATTAATATATAAATTTAAAATCTATTATATAAAACTATAAATATATTTTTATAATAATTATAAACTTTTTTAAACGTTATTAATAATTAACTTATTATATTTTTTTTTATTAAACAACTTTTATTAATAAAATAAAACACTTAAAGTTAATTTATTTATATATTTTTATATAAAATAGCTAATTATAGTTTTTAAAAGTTTACAAATATTTTTATAAAAGTTTATATAATAGCTACTTTTTATAGCTACTTTTACTTTTTATTTTAAAACCTTTATAGCCTTTTATTTATATTTAACTTTTTAATTAACTTATTTATTTTCTTTTTAAAAGTATTTTATAATATACTTTTTATATAAATTATATATATTTTAAACTTATAAGTATATTTTTTTAAATTTTATAAATAGTTTAGCTAATTTTTTGTTTAAATATTTTTTTACGGCTTTTTACCCGCTTTTAATTTTAACCTATTATTTTTGCTTTTATACTTTAAAGTATAAAACGTTTAATTTCGTACTAAAAATTATTTTATTTTAACTTATAATTATATCCTTTTTAATAGCTTAACTATAAGCTAGGTTTATTATTTAATATATTTAAAATTTTATTTAAACAATTATTTAAAACGTTAAAAATAACCTTTTAAATTAATTTATAGTTAAAATCGTTTTAATCCGTTAAAATTATATAAATAAAATCGCCTAGCTTTAAATTATTTTAAATAGCTATATTACTGCTATTTTTATATAAAAGCTTTATTTTTTTTTAATTTTTTTTTTTTTTTATCTAGCTTAGCTAAATTTAATATATAGCTATTTTTATTTAAAAATAAATTATATATTAATAATAATATAATTAGTTTAAATAAAGTTAAATTTATTTATATATATAAAAAACTTAAATAAAAAATTTCATAAATTATAAAACTTGTTTTTATATATATAAAACTTAATAAATAAAATTTTATTATAATTATATTAATATTTAATTAAATTTATAATAATTTTAATAAAATTATAAAAATGTTACGTAAACTTAAATTAATAAAAATAAAAAATAATAATATAATATATATATTTTTTATAATTTAAAAAAGAAATAGCTAGGATATAAATATTTTAATATAATTGCTACACTCTGGCAGGGGGTGTGGCCCCGCAGGGGCACACCCACTACTAGAGTGGGTCCGCTCTATAGATTAGATAAGGAAGTAAGGGCCTTGGTAAGTCTCCTGCCTGCGGCAGGAGCCTTACCAAGGACCTTCCTTCCTTCTTGATCACTTTATACAGACTCATAACCTTACTACCCTTAGTAAAGCTTACTAATAATTTAATATCTTTTATATTTAAAATTTACGTGTAGTTATTTTTAATAAATTATAAGCTAAAATTAACAATTATAAAACGTTCCTTAATAAATATAATATTTTTATTAATTTTTTACTTTGTTTTAAAAGTAGTTTTAAGTAAAAATATAAGCTAAATAGCTAAAATTATAACTAAACTAGTTATTTTAAAAATATTACGCTTATAAACCTAAGCAAAATTAAAATTAATAATATTATACTTATTAAATTAGCTTTAAAAAAGTTTATAAATATTAACCTAGTTAATTTTTTTAATATTATATTTATTTAAATATTAAAAAGCTAAATAACATTTAATTTTATATGTAAAAAAAATAAAAATATTAAAATAATTATTATTATAAAAAATATAGCTTTACTACGTATAAAATAAAAGTTTATAGTTTATTACTTTATAAAGATTATATACGCTTTAAAAATAAAAGTTATAATAATTAAGCTTTTTATATAATAATAGTTTATTAACGTTTTACACTTAATTTACTATAATAAAAAAAGCTAAGGGAGTAGTTATAGCTAGCAGCTTTAGTAGTAAATAATTAGCTTATATATATAAGTATAATATATATAGCTAAGTTATAGCTAGTGTTATAGCTTACTTATATATACATTTATTTATAAATTACTTAAATAGCTTACTGTTAAAGATTAAAGCCTTTAAAGCTACTTTTTTTCTTTAGCTTATAATTAATATATAAATTTAAAATTTATTACATAAAACCATAAATACACTTTTATAACAATTATTATAATACGTAAGCTATATAGTTAATTTTAATGCGAATATATTATAGTTAATGTTTTAAATAAACTTTGATTAATTAGCTAGTTGTAGAGTTTATATAGGCTAATAAAAAGCCCGACTATTTTTATAGAGTTTTAAGGGGTTATTATTAGAACTTCTTAAGCTACGCTTTCCCTTATACTTAATTGTTGTTGCTAATACGTGTTCGGGAAAGCTACGTTTTCTAATGATCCCGTAAGACTGTGTTACTATTGAAGGACCGTTTTCTGGCTTTAGAAAGAGCACTAAACACTTCTACGATCTGCAAGGAATTGATTTGTGAATCATTCTCCATCTTCGGACGGCCCTTAGGCAACCCCTGATTTGACAGAGCTGAGCCACGATTGCTTATTCACAGAACCTACTTCTTTTCCACAACCGAGAATCGAGGCCGACATTATGCCGGACTTCGGCAATCTCATTTATAGTCATCCGTGTTTTTAGAAACAGAGCATGTCAAAAGGCGTGACGAGCTGGGGAGGATATCCCAGGTTTGACCAGTCCCGGTTCGCCCTCGATGATTAGAATAAGACCGACCGCCCTTATATATAGGAGCTGTCGTGATGTGTCTGCGAAGAATCGGAGAAGTTATAATCGAGTAACTTAAGGTACTTCAACACGGAGATATTCCATCCTTCGGCTAGAGAGAAAGACGTTTAAACTCTTTGCCCGTCATCATCTAGGTCCCCCAGAATAGTCTGATCATAATAGTAGTAAACACTGCGTCATGTCCTCGGATTACACCGACCGGCCCTGTGTCCTAAAATCGAATCATCGATCAAATGCAACAGGAGTTGACGAGCCTATCCGAACGCGTCAAGGAACATCGAAAATCACCTTGGCGAGAATATCTGCAGAGCAGTAGACAGCCGTCTCGAACAACCATTCTCCGCTGATACGGTCGCCAACGGGATCGCCGCGAAGCTGCAGAACGCCGTCCCGACTGGCATTAAGAATGCGATGTCTTCGGGTATTATAGCTGGAACTGAAAAGACGCTTATATACCATTATACCACTAGTAAGCAAGCGTCGGGTAGTTGACATTTTGCTCTAATAGTGTGTTATTCCATTTCAACCAGAAGACAGCGGGAGCCGTTGAGGTTTCTCGAGAAGGTGTCCAAATGGCGGGAGCGATCCAGAAAACCCACACGACACAACGCAACTAAGACGCAGGCAACCGGCTCGAATCCTCCGACGCCGAACACTCGGGAGGCCGCTCGTCTTCCGCGCAAGGGCGTACTTCTTCCAGAAAGAGAACAACGTGTCATCATCTCGAAGATGGAGAAGAAGAGGCCAAGAAGGATGAATGAGTGCAATTTCCGCAATAAGACCACCCCCTGGGAGCTATCGATCCGGCTCGGTTCCCCTGATAGCTTGGACCTGCTCCAGCTGCCCATGTGTATCGAGTCTATCAAAATCAGAACGGTAGTAATATTCGTATTTGAGTGCCGGGGGTAGATTCCCCTAGTAACTCATGAACTGTCGGCACTAGGCAGTCTCTCCTAGCATATACATTAATAGCCGGTATAGATGTACCGATGGCACTGAATCAGGAATTGGGAGGTGTGAACTTAAGGCTCACGAGAGGTATTCGATACTGTAAAGGCACGATGCACTCTCACTAACATAAGCCCATGATGCTTGCATAACCAGAGGGAATTCTGCGTTGTTCTGTTTAGATGGCACGACCGGTCCCCTTATACATTCAGACTTGCGCCATATCTAAGAACTCCGAGCTGTTCACTTTGATGTTGGTCAAGTTGATAATTCAGTTTCTATTGCTTGTGGTAGACAGCCTTTTGTGATACTCCCATACCGTTTCTACCTTTATAGTTCAGGTTAGTCTACTCACTCCCTTAAGCGCCAAGAACGTGTAATATTTTCGTTGGCAGATATACAATGTGGTCTAACTAATATGACATAGCTGGTTTCGTGAATTTGGCGTCTAGGCACCTTCAGTGTTGCAGTGGTTTTCATCGGGGTTTAGTCATACTGCAGACCCGCTTAGTCCTTTTACATACCTACCTAGACTCAATCGTCGAGAATTGGCCGTCAG